CAAGCATTTTTCCTAAAATGAATAACAGTTCAGGTGTCAATTAAATGACATTAAGCGATCTAACCTGTTAAATATATGGGTATAGTTTGAATAAATAGCATCAGGCATATTTAAAGAATATAAAGCAAGTGTATTTCAATAAATTTAATTTTAAGTTTATATAAATTTTTTGAAGATTATAATAGAAAGTATATTTCAATTTTGTAAAAGAAATAGCCTAATTATCTCGTTAACTAAACTTGCGATGGATAAAGGCCCGCAAGGATATGGACTATAACTCAGCCTCTATTTGGGTCCTAAGCCACACTAATTGCAAAATGACCCAAAAGCTACCATTTTTTTCTCTCTTCTATAGCTTTATTAAATTTAGAAAATTTGTACGGGGATGTCCAACTTATGGATCTAGTAATAAGTTGGTCCTCACTGATCCCACCAAATCACAGCATAGTCCGTAAATTCAATCGCAGCTATTTTTACCCTCTAAATCTGCATATTTTACTCTTCTTATAGATGGAAATAGCCCAATTTATATTAGAAATTTTTACATGCTTTAAAGACATTTTTAATCTATATTAATCCTTAAAAGAAGGCATAATTCTTAAAGAAGGTTACGATGAGGTTGGTATAAATTTTGACGAGGGTTAGTGTCCACATTGACTATTTTAATAGAATAACGTTACTTAGTACCAATGGTGCTACAACATCAATATATGTGACAATAAGTGATGTGTCCAATTTAATGTAGAAATATTGAACTCATTTAATTAGGAATAATGCTCATTGGACATGGGCAATGATAGGGATGGAGATAACAAGGTAGTGTAGCAGACAGTGATTGAGTGTTATTTTTTTCAAACTGTTCAATCATGTATTAACACGTGTCCCCTCTATTATTGAGTCTATCATTGAGCATGTCACTGTACCATAACTCTTTAATTAGGTGCGTCATTTAATGCCACTAAATGCCACATTGGGGGTGACAAAATGGTCGAGTAGTTCGTCGGCTCGGCTTGTCAAAGATCAGCCATTGGACGAGATGAGCTCGAGCCGAGCTTGGGGTTCGTCCGGCGAGCCGAACAAAGTTCGTGAACCTAACGTTCACGAGTCCACGAGCGTAAAAAATGTGAAGAAAAAAGGAAAAGAAAAAACACAAGCTCGTGGGCATGAGAGCTCGGCTCGTGCTCGAAAGAGCTTGAGCTTGGCTTGACGAGCCGAGTTCATGGGTGGATGGGCCGAGCTCCTATCCCATTGCCACCACTATGTCACATAGACTGACATTTTAACACAACGAGTGTCAAATAGCATTAGAATTTTTCATCTAACGAAGGGTAGGATGGCCATTTTTGAATATCCCTCTTGAGAAAAACAGGCAAGTTTTGGATAATTGATTCAATAGGTGGGTCCTTTCATAAATCAGCATCTTTCTTGGATTGAATATGCTCCAATGAGGTGTGGTTTATACTTTATACTTAAAGTGCATATAATTTCATGGGAACAAATCATGTTCACACATTTGTCAAGTGGGAATAGGATAAGCAGATCCCCTTGTATTTACTCAATAAAGATAGACAACAGAAATAGAGAGCAAATGGCTGAAGCAATTCAAACAATATTGTCAATGTCATTGAACATCTATTCAACCTCTCATTCCATCACTCGTCTGCCTTCGTTGCCTTTTGGGTGGCCAACGCGCCTTAGAAACTGTCCACCTGAGACTCTTCTTTGGCCCGTACACTCCACTAGACAATCGATTATATTTAGCAGGCGTGGCCGCAGGTCCGGCTGTAATGCGGTGGGATTAGAAGGGATGTCGACACCGGCCGATACCACTAAGAAGAAGAAAAGTAGATATGAAATGGAGAATTTGACGACGTGGTTGTTGAAACAAGAACAGGTAGGTAATATTGACGCCGAGCTCACTGTAGTGCTCTCTAGCATATCATTAGCTTGCAAGAAAATTGCTTCATTGCTTCAAAGATCCAGCATCATTAACATTACTGGAGCTCAAGGCACTGTCAATATCCAAGGCGAAGATCAAAAGAAACTCGACGTCATTTCCAATGAGGTTGGTTTTGATGAATACTCAGTAAATTTAAATAAATTATCACGTTCACACTAGCAATTTGAGCTGTTAAACAAAATGTAATTTCAATTGGTGTCAGGGGTCCTGGATTCAAGTCTCAACACCTCCTATCTATGAAATAGGTTTTTGATGGAAAATGAATTCATAAAAGTTGTGCATATAACGGACTTTCGATTAAAAAAAATTGAATCCGATCTAGGTTGAGAGACCATACTTCAAACTATATTCTAATAAGAATTTAAGCTGTGAGACGGCATACTTTGAAAGGTTTTCCATCAAACAATTTTATACATATTTGAATATTTCATTAATGCCTTAACTAAAATAGGTACCACTATATTGTAGTTGTTCTGCAACTGCTTGAGATCAAGTGGCCGGACGGGGATTATAGCATCGGAGGAAGAGGATGTGCCGGTTGCAGTTGAAGAGACCTACTCAGGAAATTACATTGTAGTTTTTGATCCAATTGATGGCTCTGCCAACATTGACACTTCTTTGACAACAGGATCCATTTTTGGGATTTACGGCCCTGATCAGCAATGCCTTGTCGACTTAGAGGATGATTCCATAGTAACTCTTTTTAACCGATGAATTTACAATATTCCCTACTTTATTGAGTTCTTGAATAATTCGATGGTTACGTTATGTTTTTCTTCCCCAATATTTTTTACCTTGTACTCGATATAGTTGATGGTGATTATAATAACAGCGAAACTCTGATATCTCAGAGATATGGTCGTGCTAACAATCTTCCTGTGAATTGAGCAGCTTGATCAAGCAAAAGAAAAGTGCATAGTCAGCGTTTGCCAGCCAGGCAGCAACTTATTGGCTGCAGGGTACTGCCTGTACTCAAGCTCAGTTTTCTTCACCATCTCCATAGGAAGCGGAGTTTTGGGGTTCACCCTGGATCCCGCATATGGTGAATTTGTTTTGACACATGAAAATATCAGGATTCCAAAGACTGGCAAAATTTACTCCTTTAACGAAGGAAACTATGATTTATGGGACGAGAAATTGAAGAAGTACCTAGATGATTTAAGAAAGCCCGGTCCAAATGGCAAGCCATATTCGGGCCGTTACATAGGTTGTCTCGTTGGTGAAATCCACAGAATGCTGTTGGTTGGTGGGATATACGGAAATCCCAAGAACAAGAATGCCAAGAATGGGAACTTGCGGCTTTTATATGAATGTGCACCAATGAGTTATTTGATAGAACAAGCTGGTGGTAAAGCAATAGATGGATGCCAAAGAATACTAGATATCAAGCCTGAACAGGTAAATACTATTTTAGTATTCGAAGAGCAACTGAGAATGTATTAATCAGTTTTTCCTTTTTTTTTTTTTGGGCAGATTCATCAGCGCACTCCAATTTTCATTGGAAGCCTGGAGGAAATCGAGAAACTGGAGAATTATATATCTTAAATCAAGCTCCCATCATCAGTAATCCTTACATTGTGTTATTCTTGAAAACTTAAGATTCATTAGTCATTGCATGATCCAATCATGAGTTTACTGATACACGATATTGAACAGATGGTTGAATTCATAATCTAATCAAAGGCAACGAATTATCATCCATTAATGTATGTAAAGCTTTGTATATAACCCGATAAATTCATTAATAAGGTAAAGTCTACAAATAAATTGAATGAATTTACATCATACTAGCATTGAAGATCAGTAAGTACGATTAGTCTTATGAATCCTATAATGGTTCACTGTCCGTTTGCAGTCGCTGAATTTTACTAGTCCTAAGGGTTCCTTTGATTTTTAACTGCAAATTAAAAACAATGTCAATATCAATTGTTCGATGAGTTAATATCAAAATAGAATCAGTAGCCAGATCAGATAAGAAAATACCTGGACTCACAATCTTGATACATTTAGTTGCAGACATCATAGTTGTAACAGTATCTGGATCAGCTTATCAATAAGAAGACAATGAAAACCACTTTAAAAATCAAGAATGAACGAAAACTGCACTAACAGTGAGTTTCTTACCCAGTACATCCATGTCCTCTGATAGAAGTGACGATCTGTTAACAGCCTCTGATGGATTTGACGATCTGATAAGCAGAATATTACATTGTCAAGTTGAATCCCAGTTGATAATGCAGTGTAGTCATGGGATAAAAATGTTACCCCAAATGAGAATATGGAGAAGAATCCATCGGCAGCTGGCAGGAAAAACCAGGTCCATCACTGTGAAGATCAAACTCGACTAAAAGTTCAGAAAGATTAAAGTCTAAATCAAAATTGTCCAGATTAGTCATATCGAAATCTAGGATACCCTCTTCCCTATCAAATTCTGACGTCGAGGTACCATCGGGAGATGAGTTCTCTGAAACAGTTAGAATGTTAGAATCATCAAAATCTAGCCTTCCTTTTATATGTTCTATCCTATTGAGCCTCTTCAAGTCTGTCTTAAACGGAGAGGAAGTAGAAATACAACGGGTTTTCTCTATAGAGTAGTATGCTATTTGTTTGGCAGGACTAACTCGAATTGTCTGTGTAGTAGACGATGTGATTTGTTGAGTAATGTCAGAGGAAGTAGCAGTCGAGCAAATTTCCAATGGAGAAATAGATTTCTCTGTACGAGGGGACAATGCTCGTGGAGGTGTTTTAGGACCAGAGGAATTAGCCAGAGGGGATGGCATAGGCTGAGTGGACAAACATTTAACAACGTTAGATCCTTGAACTGATGATTCGCCTAGTGCATTATCGTGAACATATGACTGAAATGCAGAAACTTCATGTTTCTTTTCTGAATTGACTGTTTGCATGACTATGTTAGAATCTGCAATGTCAATGAACAAATAACAATACATAAGCAGTGAATCAATTAACGGTGTAATGAAAATGAAAGGATGGCCCTTACAATCAAGAATTGAATTTACCTTTGGGCTTGCGAGATTTCTTAGCAGTCACAACTGCATCTTTGACATCTTCGGATCCTTTTCTTTTCGTATTACTATGACTTGTAATTGGAATCGAGAAATTTGTGGAATCTTGTTTGGACATAATAGCTGGAGTGTTGTACATAGAAATGTGCCCTGATGAACACCATAGTATTTGAGGTATTATAGCATTGATCAAGAACCACTATAAACAATTCACAATATATATATTTATCTAGTTTCCAACAAGGCATATATCCGTTTATGAAAATTCTTCACGTCTCTTGCAAGAACACGAGATCAACAACAATTACATGAATAATTATTTCTCAAACATTTTAAGCTGCAGCTAATTCCAAAGTATAGATATTTAAAAGGTGGATAGCATTTCAGAGAAACTTAAGTGCACAGCTAAAAGCTTAAATATTGTACTAAATTGCTCAAATAAATCACATCCAAGATCTTAAAAACTTCCCAAAACAAATTGAGCAGAACATCACATATAACAAATAATCAATACATGATAAAAATCATGTGTGTGAAAAACAGTTCTACAAAACAATGAACATAATCTAAACTGATTAAGGATAAACAAATAATAAGCAATAATTTTACCTGCTTCCCCTTGTTTTGGCATTGTATTAGATGAAACGGTTGGTGGCAACCGTGGCGGAAGAGTTACATTATCTCCATTAACATTGTATGCATTCATGACATCCTGCATACCCCGAAGCAAATTCTGGATCCGGGATTTCTCCTGCTCTAAACGGCACCACCCTTGATCCAACATCACCTTCTGCTCCTTCAATCTTATATACTCATCCAAAATAGCCCCCAAACTCAATAAACTCTTGGGAGCCTAGAATATCAAAAAAAAAAAAACAAAACCCATTATAAATCTAGAGCTGAAAAACACAAAACAACCCAAAAAAATGTTAAGAAATTTACTTCTCGAACTGGGGATTTGGAGATGAGATTGGAAGCTTCGGATCGGAAAGCGGATCGAGTATGTGGGTAATTGTTGTCCGAAAGATAACGGTCTACGATGAATGCAATTTGGACCGGAGTTACCTTTCCTTTGCCTATGTAATCTGCTTTTCTTGATTTGCTTTGCTTCCCCATTTTCTCTCTCTACGCAAGAAAGGCAGAGAATGTAGAGAGAGAAAAATGCGTAGAGATACAGATTTAGGGAGATTAGTGTTGCATAAGAGAGTAAAAAGGGGAAGAGAAATGGAGGAGAGAAGGCGGGAGTATTTTGAAAGTGGAGGGATAATTTTGTAGCGGTTAATTTCCCTCCATGTGAAAAAAGAAAAAAACAGGCTTTTAGGCGCCAAGTGGTAACTACTGAAAAATGCTATGGGTACACAAGTGTACCCATAGGGGTGTCCATCGCCCCCCCTATTGGGGAGACGCACAACCCTCAACTACTAACTCGAGTTTTAGGCAGGGAATCCGACTGTTTACTAAGTCAAATAGAGTATTGATTTATTATCCCTTTTTCTCCTGATCCATTGTGAGAGTGTAGAGACGGTACTATCATTAAGATGGACAAATACATAAACATGACTTGGTCGATCATTGTATTGATGGAACACGTTCTATAAATCGTGAACAGAATTCTCTAACCGTGTATGAAAGTGTCATATAATATAATTTATCGAAAATAACTATCTTTTTTCACATTCTAAATAATTGAACCGAGGAATATAATTTTTGTAATCGCGATCATATTTATATATATTTTTAGTAGGTGTACATCAACATTTCTTTAACACGCTCATCGTGAAACAATCCCAAACATTTTATTAACAACACTAATAAGAATGAGTATACCAACGTGTAAGCAAAATAAAAGATCAACGGAAACTAATTAGACATGTTGCGTATATGTGAATAAAATGATCTTGGAAATAAAATCTGGAGCAGTTCCCGCCAAGTAGGAAGAGATTGCTAGGAGCTCTTGATGCCGGAGAGCTTTAACTCGGTTTCCTCATGATGGATATGATAATAGCGATGTTCACGTAGGAAGTCCGCCTCCTCATGATAGATATGATAATAGCGATGTTCACTTAGGAAGTCCGCCTCTTCATGATAGAAATGATAATAGCGATGCTCACGTAGGAAGTCCGCCTAAGACATCTATCCTAAGTTGACGCCGCCGCCACATGACCTTTTGTGATCAAGATCGTAAGATAGCCACCAAATTTGACAAGTCACTCTTGAGCCAAAGCTTTCAACATCCATACTCTCTTGCATAATCAGTGGCATGAATTGCCTTGCAGTTGCAGATATCAATCTTCGTGGCTAAATGCCACCACCACTCTTATTAATCAAAACATTAAAATATTTTGATGCACCAATAATACAATCCCCATTGTGTCGGCCCCTCGTGAATTCAAATTGCTCGTGAGAGATGATATGAGTACCAATAGCAATGAGTCATGGTCATATGTTTGTTATTTACATATTCTACGTAGTTGCTGCACACGACACGACTCGTGCACTGTCTATGTGGTGCCTCAGTATTATTCTATCAATTGACTATAATAAGTTCGTTGTTCGAATTACGCACGCCCTCGTCATTCAATGAACGATAAAAGGGAATTAAGGTGAGCCACAAGTCTTAAGGACTCATAGAGAATGATATACGGCGATCCTCGCCGCGAGAGATGCATTAGAGGAGTGGGGTCAAACTTCTCGTACCAAGAGTCGATGTAATATCGTACCACTAGTTTGGCATCAAGATTAAATGTCTAACACCATTGCACGTTGGACATTCACACGAGAAAACACAGTTTCTTCCCCCATAAAGAAAATTTGGCCAGTAGCTCAAGTTAGTTAATTATATCAGTGAGTCGTCCTCTTCCAAACAAAGGTCCACATGTCAAGCTGTCATCTCTTATGTTTAAAGTTTGTAATTAATATACATTATACATGCCTGTCTGTCCGTCTGTATCTCTCTACACATTATGACATTACATTTCTGTTTATTGTCTCGTGAGAGTGTAAATTGAATCGTGTTGAATCGTCCATTGTGTTTTAAGGTGGCTCGTCTCGATCAACATAAAATATGAAAAAGATTCATTAGTGTTGTTCATCATTTTCTTTGTGAAAATCTCACCTTGAAAGAACTTTCAAAGATCGATTGTGGTTTTATTAACTAGTGGATTTTGAATAAATAATTAATCATTGTGTTCTTGAACTGGATTTGCCTTTTATGTAATGCCCACTAATTTATTTCTTTTCATGGTTGGTAGAGAATAATATATTGAATAAATAAAGTACAAACATTTAATGCTGTCACGTAAGTCACAAGACAACAGTCTTACGAGAAAAGTTCGCAACACGAGAGCAAAATGTGCATAGCAGAGACACATCAATGCAAACATAAGGACGCAGTCTTAAAAAATCTCATATCGTTGAGAAAATTACATTTAGGTCCCAAACCTATTGGAAATGTATAAAGTTGGTCCTCATCCTTTTATTTTTCAAAACTCGTGTGCTATAGAAAATTGTATCTTTGTTTTGTAGAAAAATTATGTCCGTTAACTAGCCATCATGACAACTGCATTTATTGATAAATCCAAGTGAAATTACCTTTTGTACCCTCTTACATTTATTTCATTGTATGTTGAGAGTGATATTTTAGAGAATTTGCTCTTTGCTGTGTCAAAAAGGACGGCTGAAATGGACCCACGTTACTGTTTCAACAGTCAATTTTTTAAAGAAAATGTTAAGAAAATGGTTGCCAAACACAGTGTAAATTTTTATTAGAAAGATAATTTTATCCCTACACTTTTTGTCTTTATATTTTTCAAGTTTCTTTTACAACTGTATTTTTAACAAAAATTGAATACATGCTTAGTACATATATTTTAAAACTTATTTTCAAATACGTATTCTTTCAATAAAATAATTTTTCACGTCCATAAATATCGTTTTTCACAAAATATATTCTAAAAAATTATGTCAAACAAGCCATTGAGTTTTAAATTAAACATAATGATAATCATCATTTATTGATCCAGACAAAGTAATATAATTCATCAATAGTATTAATTAAAAACACCATGCAGTAGTAATGAAAAATTCTCTATATGGAAGTGAAATAATTGAACAATGTGATGTGATGATAGGGACCCCAATTATCGCTAATATCACTTGACCTAAATATTATGGGTGTGTTTAATGGATATTGAGAAAACAATATATTTTAAATAGTGATATAATGAAAAATAAGTGGTTAAAAAATAAGAAAAAGTTATTGATGTGATGAAAAATATTATTTCATTGAAAAAAATGTGATTGAAAATGAGTTTTGAAATAATGTATTTTGAAAAAATGTGTACCAAACAGAGGCTATAAAAATGATAGGTTGGGGACTGAGGCTTCCAAAATATTAAATTTGGATCTACCTACTACATTTTCAATAGTTTGAGGACCCCCATATATAATTTTTCATATATTATATTTCCCCAAAGTATAATTTCACATCATTCAAGCCGCTCTCCACCCCCGCCATTCCTTCCCCATTTCCCCAAGCTTTTCCAACACTCGAACCCCATAAAAATTCTTAAAAACTAGCGTACTTTATTCATGGATTCTTCCGAGAAACCCTTGTAATAAATCCAGAATAAACGACAAAACCAAGATCAAGGATTCTAGCTCAAAACCCAGATCAAGAATGGCTGCATTCTCAGTGTCCAGGTACTTCATGGCTCTTTTTCTACTCAATTTTTACTTGAAAATTCAAGCTGAAGACCCAAAAAGTATATCATTTTCTTTTAAGAATTTTGGTGAAGACTCAAATTTTACGTCACAGCTTGCTCTTTATGGTGGTGCCATGGTTGAAAAAGACAGTATGTCAATTCAAATCACTAGTTCAATGGTTTCTAGTGTTGTGTACAAGAAACCCATTGAGGTTGTTGAAGGAAAAACAAGGAAAATGTTGTCTTTTTCTATGTATTTTGTGTTCTCAATCTCTAGAGAAAATGGAGAGGGTTTGGCCTTTATTATGATTCCCAACATTGGGTTGCCCTTGAATATTTTTAAAGGTGGCTCTATTGGGTTGTTCAAGGCAAGAAAGTTTAGGTTTCTTGGTGTTGAATTTGATACTCTAAGTAACCATGTTGGGGTTGATATTGATAGATTCGTGTCTGTTAAAGTGGCCAATGTTTCATCAATCAATTTGGTGCTAAATAGCGGTGAAAGATTGCAATGTTGGATTGATTATGAAGCAAGTTCTAAAAGATTAGAGGTGAGGTTGAGTAAATTAGGCGACATTAGGCCGGTCGATCCATTGCTTTCGTATGGTATAAACTTGTCACGAATGTGGAAAGAGGAGAAATTTATAGTCGGGATGAGTTCATTGGGTGCAAATTCGTCGCAGAAGTGCAATGTGTATTCGTGGAGTTTTAGGACAAGAAGTGTTCCACAATGGATGCATTCGGAACCATTAAATCCTGAGGCGTTTACGAAGAAACAAAAAGTGGTGAGTGTTCACAAGAGATCAAGTGATTGTGGTTTGAAAATCCTAGCTGCATTGATATTTGGTACTGGATGTGGAGCATTGGGGGCCTTCATTGTGTTGTTTTCCTGGACTATTTTTGGAAATAGACGACCCGTGGTTCCACAGGAATTTGTTATGCAACCTAAGGAGTTTGAGTACACCAGGTCGAATGTTGCAGCAGATACCACCATCGAAGATGGTCACAAGTAGGTTTTGGGTTGGAATTTTAGGGGCGTTTTCCCTCTGTAAATCTTTCTAATATTGTACTTGTATCTTTTGATTTTAGTGTGGTTATGTAATCTATAATGATCATTCATTCAATGTAGTTTTGTACCATTAGAATTCAGCTTCGACCGGGGGAACGGAGATGTAATCTTTTTTCTTCCTTTTTCGTCTCTAAGACTATCTTATGCAGTAGTTCCTTTTTAATTATTTTATCTTGCTCTGTTCAAAAATTATTCTTGGATCTTAAGCCAATCTCTTAATCAATTTCACTTGCAGTTGTTTGTACTTGTACTATCTGGAAGATGATGACATTAAGAAAACAAGAATCTTGAGTTACTCTCTTTAACAACGTCGACATTCTAAAGTGAAACCCCTCCAATACTCAGTGGATTAATATAACATCGGGATTGCATTAACGTATTGATGTTTTGTCACACCTCAAGAAGGATGTGTTGTATATATCTTATCATAGTTAGGGTATTTCAACATAAATACATACTTTTTGATTGGATTTGAGGTAAACATTTATAATTTGTTTTTATCTAAAAGAATGATATTTCAGCAAATATTTCAACTCGACCAGTGTTGATCTCTACTAATAGTGAAAAGCATTATTCTTCTCAACCTCATATATCTACCCTAGCTGGATCGAGTCATTAAGTAAATATTAACATCATGTTTGATACTCATTCTTTTAAAATATATTTTTCTCTCTTATTTTTAACAACACATTCGTCAATGAAATAATATTACACTTAAATTCAAAAATATTCCTTATTTTTTAATCACATATTTTTCATCAAAACACTATTTAAAATGCATTCTTGAGAGAATAATGTGGCTTAAACAGGGTGTAGAAGTAAAATTATTTGATAGTAGTCAAGATCCTACTAGACATGAGAGGGAGGGGAAAAACATTATTTTAATGCTATTCGTGTCAATTTATCCGCACAACACTTACCGACCCAGTGTATCCAACCCAACATCTAACGGGTCAAGAACCCAAGCCCATAAGAAAGCGTAATATAATATCTATAAATCAACTGGCAAGAACAAGAATGAGGAATGGATAATCTCCGAGTAAAATCCATCGCCATGGCTGCACTTCACCTCCTTCTTCCCTCCATTCCTCAGAAAAAAGTTACAATATTTAGCATTAAATTCACTAAACCATTCAAAATTTCCACAATTTGCATTGTCAAGAGTTCACATACACATCAGGCTTCAGCTCTCCACATCAGCCTCCAACTCAATTGACAACTAATCTAACAATCACCAGCTGCTATCCTAGCTGCCTCACCTTTTGTTACACCAGAATGCTGCCACTGATTTTTGTAGTAAATAGATTCCTAACATCCTCCATAATTTAAAGAACTAACTACAGCTGTACAGTCTAAAATATTCTCCTCACATTCTTTGTAATATAGATTGACATGATGCTGAAGGAGAATTATTATTCAACTGTTTTTGCATTTCTAACTTGGTGTCAGAACTCAGACCACGGCCAACGTCGGCAACACAACTCTGCTCTCGTATCTATCTCAAGCAGTACCATTGCTCCAATGCAGGTAAGCAACCATCTCTCACCCTTTGATGTTAATCTAACTCAAGTGGTATCATTTAAACTTGATAAGAACAATTTTCTGTGAGTGCAAGTCAAAGTACAGTGAGTAAAACGTGATATTGTGCAAAATTCAGTAAGTGTTGAAATAGTTAACTCATTATAAAGAAAACAAATATTTAACTATAGTACCTACATCTCCGGTCGATGAAAGATTTTTAAATGTGAGATATCGAGGAAGATTTATAAGAATTCGCAGCATTTCATCTTTGTTGTTGATTTTCTACTTAAAAGATTTTGCATTTCCACTTGCCTTGTTTTCCTCTTATACTAGCAAGTATTGTGTTTGACATTTTGATAGGTCCTGGATCCTATAAAACTATAAACAGTCTTTTAAAGAAGACAGGCTTACACTTGACCTTCAATCCCTCTTCTACGCGACTCTGGCACATGTTCACTTGCACTTTAGTGTCACCTTCAACCCGTGCCCCTAACCCTTATACACATGGGACCAACAATTGAAGAAGATAAACTAGCAAATCGCACATAGATGTATAGCAAGAACAATCTTTTCTTGAAAATTTTTTATCGTGATTATTTTCATTATTTATCTGCTGCATAAAGCCTGTTTTGGCGATATTATAATCCAGCAGCGGAAAATAAGAACGAACAAATAAAATAAAAATCTATACTTCCCTATTTTCTACAATGCTAGGGAAGAAAATAAAAATTAACAAATACAAAATCCTGTACTCCAGTATCAGAAAGCAAGAATGCATCTATGCTGCGTATTTGCAATCTCCTGTATTATCAACGTAGCAAAATTGCTTTCATCCTGTATTCCATGATAAGATATCTTAATCGATCACGCATCAAGCCTGTGATTTCGATATATATAGTCGCAAGCCATCTGCTTCGTGTGTCTGTGATCCTGTTTCTGATAGTATCTCGATGGATGAAAATCTGGATTCATCAAAATCAACATGAACTATGCCGTATACTTCACAGTTGGGACGAGTCGACAATAACTTAAAAACAAAAGTCTTATCTTTGTGAAGCAACTCTCAAATTAGGTATATGAGTGAGGTGCTGACGCCTTCTTTGCTGCTCCGATTTATCACAAACACATCCAGGAAAAGGGTTTGCGTAAAAGTTCTCTTCGAGTCTTGGTGATTCGCCTGCTTGTCGAAGGTATGGTGCTCCAAGTCTGTTCGAGTGTAAGCTCTTGACTTCTGAAGCGAAGTCCTCCCAAGAGATTGCTCCCTCATCAAACAAATCTATCAGTTGTACAAAATTGAGCCTGAAAAAAGAAAGATCAGAATGAATTTACTTTTATCCAAGAGATCCCCTTGAGAGTAACTAGTACTGAAAGAACTATAATAAACCTGTCAGGATTTATTGTCTTTCTAAATCCTTCAAACCTCCTATGCCCCTGCACAGCCTTTGCCATATTGCCGTCGTATGTGTAAACAAAGACATCACTTTCTACGGCTACAATGTGATCTAAGGCCGCAAGGCGGTTCTGATAAAGACTGAATGGCTCTATCTCTTCTTCGGTCGCAAGGTTCGAATGAGAGAAAACATTTGGGTACTCCAATCGGAAGGCATCCATACTATTGTTACCATAAATTTCCCCAGCAACTATGTATATTCTAGTTGAGGAGGGATATCCCATGGCCTTGAGAAGTAGCGCAGCCTCCCGAGGAGACATTGGGCAGCCTCCCTGTAATCTCCTTTCTTTGCTGTCGATCTCTTTCTCTTTCCAATGCTTGGTTTCAAACCTCATGACCTGTAGTTCTTCGGCCTCTTCTGCGGTTAAATTGTGGCTGCAGCCAGTGAATGCAAGCATGTCTTTCTCGTATCTGCATTAAATAGTAATTGCTAAGTCACTTGATGAAAATAGCTACAACTACTTAAAGATCCAATTAGAATTGATAATTATTACCTTAAATGTAGAGCAATATATGGTTCACCATCACTCCTAAGCCTATCCACCAATTTCTTTCCGAGCTCCTCAATCTCTGGTGTAAACCGGAGAGCCACATAATTTGTACGACACCTGAGCTTCTGAATAGATGACGCAAGCCCATTATTAGCAAGTCGTGAATCGGTATGTGTAAACACGATCACCTTATGCTTCTTCAGCAAAGGAAGGATTTCGCCTCTATAGTAACTAGCCTGCGAACAAGACAAAGCATCCATATTTAGGCGAAATTCACAAAACAGGCAAATAACTAATGAAACTAACTATATATGACGCCTCTCATAATTTCCTGACCTTCGACCAAGAGACCGGTGCCTTGACCAGGGGATTTAATGCAGAATATTGTGGTGGCAAGGATTCAACTACCTCAATATCGTCTTTTAAAATTTCAATGAAGTGCCTCCAGTCAAATATATCTTTAAAATCGCTGCACATAAAGCATAAGCTTAGGAGAAACCTAGATAAAACAAAATACATTGTCAGCAAAGCACGACTGAAGAATTACCTAGGATCTGTCCAAAAGGACTCGTGATCAAGTGAAGGAAGCACAAGAGTGGCGTTCATAATTTTCGCTATGGCAGCCATATCGCATATCTGAAGTTGAATTAAATGCAAATTGTCAGCAAAGGATTAAAAGTCAGACAACCAGAAAATTAGTTGAAAGCTTTTATGATATTATAGCGTTAAACATACTCCTGTTCTCATTTGGTTCAACCCTCCATTAGCGTGAACTATAATATAACCATTTGTCACTGACCCTGTTCCTAAAAAAATAGCATTCATTGATCAAACAAAAACGATCTGTACTGGAGGAGTCATTAAATTCAGGAACATCGAATCTTAACATACTTATGTGATTCCTAGGTCGAGAAATGCATTGGTAATAGTCATCACTATTTGGTTTCATCCATATGTCTGGGACCTGTTTCAACATAGAATCCTTCTGTTAAACGAATGAAAACCGAATCAAATCGATAAATTATCAAAAATCCCGTCCTCACTTCGAATGGCAAGATGCAACTTAAAGACAGAACATAGGAAAAAAATAAAAGAAAAAAAAATGGAAATGCATAACGGTCAATTAATCATTAGCCGCCTGGAAAATAATTGCGTGATTGGGTCAAAAGCGCACTGGCGAAACCGCCCCCACTAATTGTTTCATATGAGTAAAAAAAGAACAGAAAAATCTACCAAACATTTTATATTAATTAATTAATGTAAAATCCAACACACACAACAAAGTTCCCAACAAACACATTCCTAAAGTTCCCAATAAACACAATCTTAATTATTGTGAAAAAGAAGAAAGTTTTGGAAAAATTAATGATTTAATAAAAAAAGAAATCTCAACAAATATTCAGGGCATCTTGAAAAAATAGCAGAAATACAAGAAAAAATAAATAAAATTCAGTCTTCATTAATTCACCACATGCTTTGAATTCTGAAATCTGTCGATCTTAAACTAAAATCTCATGAAAACCAAGTTTAAGATTTAAGTTTTTAATTAATAAAACAGGAGAAAGATTTAATGAACTTACCGGAATTTCCTTCATTTTCCGTTTCTGCATAACGTCGCTGCCGGAAGATGTGTCCAAATCAAACATAACTCTCTGAGCATTAGACCAATCATTGTTAAAATTCTGAACAATCAAAATCCCATTAACCTCCCGATAACCACCGATGCCAGCGGTAAAAGCAAACTTCAGTAATGTCGAAACCACCACAAGCATCAACAGTAGCCCCAAAATTACCCGAACCATATTTTTTCTTGGTCTCAAAGAGTGCAAGATCGAATAAGCACTTAATATAGATTCCTCTATGCCCAAAACCCAATTCTCCGGCACCCGTTTACGCATTAAAAAATATCGGATCATCGGGTGGTGGTGATGGTAGCTGCCACCACTGTTATATTGATACCCACTGACATTATCGTCCTTCGATGTTTCTGAATCATCATCTTCTGGAGAATTATCGCAAGAAATCTGTACATGGTCTAATGATTTCTCCACGTCGTTAGTTGAGTCAGGGACACGGCGACGGTGAGTGCTGGTGGGGGCGCCGTGTACGGGGCTGCCGCTGGTGCCGGAATTGGGGGTGCCACCGTTTGACATTTTCAATAGATCCTACAAAATAAATAAAAAAACAAAAAGTGCGAAAAAAGTGGGAAAGTAAAGATTGAAACCACCACCGTAATGGCGATGTGTTTCTATCAAATTTAGAACCGTTGCTTTGTTTTGTTATCAAAAAAGGACTTTGCTTTTGTATTTTTTGCTTCTCCCAAAAAGTTGTACTATGATCTTTGGCTTTAACTCGTAGATTAGAGAGGCGGAGAGGACTTTGTGTGAGAAAGATACTTACATATAATTATATATATAGAGAGGATGTCTCTCTCTTCTCTCTCTCTCTCTAAATTGTTGTTGTCACTTGTCATTCTTGGGTCTAACGTTGTAACTTTGTCACAGTAATATGCGATGCAGGCTTGTTGTATTGAGAGAATTGCCCTTGATTTTAGCTCAGATAAATAACTTGAAGATTTTGTCCCGTGTCAGTTTGTTCGATTTCAAGTTCTTTCATTTTAATCACTCGGAACTTACACGTTTGCTTCATGTTGACAACTTATTTGTAGTCATGGTCAAAACTGGACAATTCCACAAAGTCGATGGAATCTTTGTCGATAATAAAACTCAATGGTCTGAAAAGTATTATAAATAATTTAAATTATAAATCGATAGAAAGAATTAATGGATAAATACGTAGTACATATAAGTTGCTCGAATGCTTTGATAAAAAGTGATTTTAGTATTTATAACTAGTTTATAAACATGAACCTGACATAGGCTAAAATAAGAACTCTATTTTGCGTTTGTGTTATATCCTTTTTTTAATTTTGACCGCGGTAACTGATAAAATGATGAAACTGAAAATTGCAAGTTAGGTATCTAATTGAAAACATGGAAGTTGAGGACTAACACGAAAAAGACTACCTTAATAAGGACTAAAATGGAAAAACTTATAAGTTGAGTGAGCTCCGGTGAAATGTTATCAATTTAGAGGAAGTCTAAAACAGTTTGAATTAGTTTCATCTTTCCAAATATAATCCAATGTTAAATTGGTTTAGAACGGTAAATGTTCTAATTAGGACTCACTAATTGTTTTAAATTAATGCAGTTCACGTGGAGCCAACCTTTTTGTGTCATTTACTTGCCAAATAGAAAGTATGTTGTATTAAAGCTATATTTGGTATGGGATGTTACACCCTAGCGTATGAAATGCTCAATTATAATAAACTACCATGTTTAATTTTAGAAGTTATTCAAAAAATGTTTAGATATTTTATTAATTACTTTATTTAGAAATTTGTAAGGATTATAGAGGTGGACAAAATGTCCGATGAGACCAGACAAAACCAAACCAAATTAGAATTGAATCGAATCGAGTGATTCGATTCAGTTCTAGAAAAAGAAATTATGGTTTTGATTCTTTGAATCAAGAACATTTGGTTATGATTCTTATTCTAGAATTGAGAACCAGAACCAAACTTTACGACTCATTAATTGAATATTGTCCATTAATCGATTTTGGGTCATTAAAGACAGCTCATTAATTATGTACATCCCAATTTTGTATTCATTTGAATAATTTTTTATTCACTCATTTTCAATTTATACAACGCCGAGGCACGCTGGCATTGCTTTTTATCACGTCAATGAAGGAAATTCTTTCAAGATCTAAAAATGAAATTGGCCAACCACTTAAAAAACCTTTAAACTATTTTTTTTACCTTAATTGTTTGATGGATTATTTGTGTTCTTCACAAATAGAGGAAAATCCAATAAACATTCACGTAGTATTAAATTGTTAATGTTTATCTGTAACGGTGGATTGTAAAAGTTTTGCATAATTTATCCTCTACTGTGGAGGTGTATCTTCAAAATTGTTTCAATTAATTTAATGAATCATTGCTATTACTTATTAAATATTTTTTTGTATAGGAATGAAAACTAATTTTTGTATTCAAATTATGACTACATTTTGTTTGTTAGTTTAGACTTTTTGTAATCTTGATGATTGATAATTTGAACTTGCTGAATGGTTGATGTTTATTATTATTTTTTTACTTAGGTATATATTACCAACTTATGGATATGATGCAAGTCTGAAAATTGAAGAAATGAAACTAGAACCAAACTAAAATCGAACGATTTGGTTCAGTTATATATCTTAGAAAAAATCATTGGTTCTATTATAAAAAAAAAAAAAAAAATTGTTAGTTCATAGTTCGATTCGGTTATATTGGAACATGAACCAAATAGAATCATGTCCACTCATAGTAAGGAAGTTTATAATACAATTAGGGTGCTTTTGATTGTCTATATTTTCCAACCAAATTAGGGAAGTTTATAATACAATTAGGGTGTTTAATTGACATTTTCTTTAATGAAAAATATTTTTCAAAAGTTTGTCACCAAAAAAAGGAAAAGGTACAACATATTCTAAATTGAAAATTAAGTAAATCAAATACATTTAACTGACATTTTTCCATGTAAAAATAAGTTATAGGTAATTGAGCAGCATTCTTTTCATGCAAGCTACGTACTTGTAATCAAACACACCTTATATATTTCTATAAGTGCATGGATGACGATCATTACTTATTGTCAAAAGCGATCGATTCTAAGTCATCCTTCATTGTCATAAACAACAAGAAGTTAATTGACAGTTATTTGGATGAATGGTGGTTGTTAAGGATGCCATTAGTGAACTCGTCATACTATAATTTTTTTACTAATTAAGGTACGTTGTTTGTGTGTCAATTTCGCACGTCCGCCTTATAATAAAATTCGACCCAAACACTAAATTGTATTAAAATACACAATAACAAACCAAACCTAAATAAATTAGAATGGCAAAAAATAAAAATAAAAAGAAAAAACTAA